AAGATGTCATAGAAAGAAATTTTTAAAATATTATTTAAAATGTCAATAATAATGATTAGAGACCTGTAATACCTTTCCCCTCCCCCACCCCAAAATATAAATGCTAAAAGATTGCCGTGGTTGCTGCACATGCTTATTAAGAATTTATCAACCACGTGAGAGCATCTTTCAGGTCTGAAGGTTCTTAGTCCATTTAAAATATTAAGGTAGGAACCTGAAGGCTTAGGTTCTAGGCCCTGCTTTGCCACAAACTAACCACATGAATTTAGACAAAATACTGCCTTTTCCTTCCTTTGTTAGTCTCAATGTTCTCTTCTGAAAAATGAAGAGCTTGGGCTGAATGACCATAAAGTCCCAGAACATCAACAATCCCTCTTTCTCCTCATGGTTTTCTTTCCCTCTTCTTCCCTTCCTCCTGATACAAAATAGATGCATACATCTTCAGGGTACATGTGATAATTTGAATCATTCATCTAATGTGTAAAGATCAAATCAGGGTAACTGGGATATCCATCACCTGAAATATTTATCTTTTCTTTATGCTAGGATCATTTGAATTATTCTCTTCTAGGTATTTTGAAGTGTACAGTAGATTAATGTTAACTATAGTCACTCTAATGATCTATCAAACATTAGGTTTTATTTTTTCTAACTGTATATTTGTACCTGTTTATCAATCTCTCTTCATTCCCCCTTCTCCCTACCCTTCCTGGCCTACGGTAGCCACAAATCTACTTGATATTTTAATGAGATCTGCTTTTTTAGTTCACACATATGAGTGAGAACATGCAATATTTGTCTTTCTGTGCTTAGATTATTTCACATAACATAATGACCTCCAGTTTCATCAGTGCTGCTGAAAATACCAGGATTTCATTCTTTATTATGGCAGAATAATATTCCATTGCATATATACACCACATTTTCTTTATCCATTCATCCATTGACGGGCATGTAGGTTGAGTCTCTATTTTGACTATTGGGAATAGTGCTGTAATAAACATGAGCGCAGGTATCTTTTCGGAATACCAATTTCATTTCTTTTGGAGATATACTCAGTAGTGGAATTGCTGGATTATATGATTAATTTCTAGCTTTTTTGAGGAGTCTTCATATTATTCTCCATAGTAGCTGCACTAATTTACATTCTCACTAACAGTGAACGAGGGTTCCCCTTTTCCACATCCTCACCAGCATCCATTATTCCCAGTCTTTTTGACAAAAGCCATTCTAACTGGGGTGAGATGATATTTCATTGTGGTTTTGATTTGCATTTCTCTAATGATTAGTAATGTTGAGCATTTCTTCATACACCTGTTAGCCTATTTGTATGTCTTCTTTTGAGAAGTGTCTATTCAGATCTTTCACCCATTTCTTAATCAAATTATTTGTTTGTGGGTTTTTTATTGTTTTGCTTTTTGCTATTGAGTTGTTCGAGCTCCTTATATAATATATTCTGGCTATTAATCTTTTGTTAGATGGATGTTTTACAAATATTTTCTCCCATTCTGTGGGTTGATTATTTTCTTTGCTGTGCAAAAAGCTTTTTAGCTTGATGTAATCCCATTCGTCTGTTTTTGCTTTGGTTGCCTGTGCTTTTAAGGTCTTACATGAAAAATCTTTGCCCGGATCAATGTTCTGAGGTATTTCCCCAATGTTTTTTTCTAGTAGTTACAAAGTTTCAGGTCTTAGATTTAATCTTCAATCCATTTTGAGTTGATTTTTATATATGGTAATAGATAAAGGTCTAGTTTCATTCTTGTGCATATGGTTATCCAGTTTTCCCAGCACCATGTATTGAAGAGACTATCTTTTCCCCATTGTATCCTTGGTGTCTTTGTTGAAAATTAGTTGGCTGTAACTGTGTGAATTTATTATTTACTTGGGTTTTCTATTCTGTTCCATTGGTCTATGTGGCTGTTTTTATACCAGTATCATGCCGATTTGGTTACCATAGTTTTGTAGTATATTTGAAGTCAGTTAGTGGGATTCCTCTAGCTTTGTTCTTTTTGTTCAGAATTACTTTGGCTAATTGGAGTCTTTTGTGGTTCTATATAAATTTTAGGATTTTTTTTTCTATTCCTATGAAGAGTATCTGATAGAGATTGCAGTGAAACTGTAATTGCTTTGGGTAGTATTGTCATTTTGATAATATTAATTCTTCAAATCCATGACTATGGAATAGCTTTCCATTTTTTGTGTTCTCTTCAAATTCTTTCATCAGTGTTTTATAGTTTTCTTTGTATAGATTTTTTACTATTTTTGTTAAACTGATTCCTAGGTATTTTATATTCTTTGTTGCCATTGTAACTGGTAACTGTAATTGCTTTCTTGATTTCTTTTTCAGATTGTTTGCTGTTGGTATATATAAAATGCTCAGTTTGTATCCTGAAACTTTACTGGATTTATTAACCAGTTCTAACAGTTGTTTGGTATAGTCTTTAGGTTTTTCTAAATATAAGATCATATCATCTGTAAAGAAGGTTAATTTGACTTCTTCCTTTTCCATGGTTTTCTCTTCCATCACCTGTCTCATTGAAACTGATCTCTCCTTTTCATTACTTTCTGTCTTCTTCCTCTACCTACTCTTTGTCCTCTTCTGGATATAGTGTAATTCTCAATATATTAATATAGTTTCTTACTTAATTCTAAATATTAAATATATTGCTTCCTAATAAAAATCTTCTGTTTAATCAAGGAATTTAGAAATCTTTGGAGTTATGGATTCATTGACATACCTTAACATTTACCCCAATTTTTTTTCTGTGGTTTTCTAACAAAATAGTTTCTGCTGGCTTTCCTCTACCAGATCCTCTCTCAGATCATTTTCCTCTGCCCTGGATTCCCTAGAGTGAAGAATTTTTCAGAGATTATCTAAAGCTTTTCTCTTCACCATTCATTGCTCTAGATCAGACTCAAATATTTTTACTTTTTCCCTTTTGGACAATTTATGTTGCTCCTCCACAGGTTCAGTAGAAGTAAATTCTTGAGGTTATTGGTTTCTTAGGCCAATGGTTCCCAGACTTTGGATTTTACATTCTGTTAAAATTTCTCTTGCTCTCCAACCAAATTTGAAGACCAAAATGGGGTTGCTAAGGTTTTTGTTTTGTTTTTTTATTTTCTTTTGCCAAACAATAATAGTAAAATAACACTACTATATACTGTCACCATCATTTCAGAAGGAAATTTTAACATTAAAAGTAGGAAGTCTAAGGACACCCTAATCATGAAAAAAAAAAATAAATAAATAAATAAATAAATAAAAGTAGGAAGGACACAATTTTAGAATAAAATATAGTCCTTAAATGGAATAAATTAGTGACCAACTTTATAGCTTTATTAACAACTCTCTACAGTGTCATTATTTTTCTCATGTCTCTAAAGAACAAGAAAGACTTCAGAGACATATACAGGTGAGCAGATTAGTATTTTAGAGGCAATATGGGGCCAGACACAGTAGCTCATGCCTGTATGCTCATGCCTAGCACTTTGAGGGGCCAAAATGGGAGGATAGCTTCAGCCCAGTAGTTTGAGACTAGCCTGGGAAAAAGGAAGACCCCATCTCTACAAAATTTTTTTAAAAAATTAGCTGGGTGTGGTGGTGTAAGCCTGTAGTTCCAGCTACTCAGGAGGCTAAGGCAAGAGGATCACTTGAGCCCAGCAGTTTGAGGCTGTAGTAAGTTATGATGATACCACCACACTGCAACCCAGGCAATGGAGTGAGACCTTATCTCCAGGGGCCAGGGGTGGCAACATGGTACAAATTACAACACACCTTATTTCAACTCATTTTAAGGAGGTGCTTTATACACTTTCCCTCACCTTGGGTTGATCTTTGCAGCCAGCACTGGGCTTTCTATTTGGATTTCCACTTATGTAAACCTTCTTGGAGTGGCTCCTGCTGATATTCTTCACATTTCCGGCTCAACAACACCAACTTTAAACATCTCAGCAGTCCATGTGATACAGAAAAGGAAAACAAACCTGGACATTCCCTGATCACAAAAAAATGCTCCCCATACTGCTACAGCTCTTTCACCTGTTTGCAGGTTTCTGCCCTGCATACATTTCTCCAGTTTTTCACTCTGGCTCCTTACAAGCTCTAGAATCTGAAATCCTCCATTATTCTAGGTCCAGTTTTGCTCTCTACTCCACACGTTTGTGCCCTTCTCCTCTTAAACTTTTCATCCTACTGACCTTCCATTTTTCTTAACATCAACTCTGTAATATTGGTATTTTTCTTGTGGCTGTTTCTATAGTAATTAGTAATCACAGGATTGTATGCACAGGAAAAATATTTTCTAAAACTTCTTTCTCTCTAAAGGTCATTTAATTATATTAGAGTAGTCCTGTTGAATTTAGATGGTCCCCATTAGAGATCACTAAAATTAACTCCTTCAGGTATCATAATTTAGCACACCACAACTATTACATGGATACAGTAATATAACCATACAGATGATATTAATATTGCTTTCTGCCTCTTTGGCATTTTTTAAAGGAAGCAATAAAAATAAATATAAATTTTGAAAGAAAAGATAAAGGGAAAAGGAGGTTAGAATTGTTGCAATCCATGTTAATACATTTAAAGAAACTAAGCTATAGTTCTACTGATCTTGATTATGTCCAATAATTCACTTTGATGAGGGTAATGAAAAACACTTTTTTGTTGAACTGAGTTACATTTATTTTATAGTATCTTAGACACTGGAATTTGACAGAGAATTGTGTCTCCCTCTATTTTCCATTTTCTTTCTATCTTTTTTCCCCTTCAACACAAGTAATATATAATTGCTTAAAATTGTTTTTCAAATATTTCAGAAATATTTAACTGGGTAGTGAAAGGCCTCTATAAGTCTCCCCACTCAACATATACACATGTACAAGACAGCCATGGTAAACTGCTTGTGTATATTCTTCCAGATTTTTTCCTTATACATATACTAACATATATATTAGTAATCAGCATGTTATTAAATGAGACAGATTCCACCACTTACCAAAATAAGCCCTGATATCAGTGAGGAAGTGCCTGTCAGAGCCACATAGAACTTCGGTGTTAATGTGTTCAAAAACATGCTCACTGGAAAAGAGAGAGAAAGGGAGAAGAATAAGGAATGCATGAGTATGTCAGTAAAACCAGCTTTCATTCTTCTTTCTAGTGAAATCATTTGCTTTTTAATGACAATTCTTAGAACCATAACAAGACTTCATTAAAATGGTTCACCATTACATAGGCTCAGAATCAGGGGTCCTCAAACTTTTTAAACATGGGGCCAGTTCACTGTCCCTCAGACCCTTGGAAGGCGGTTGGAGAGTGCGGGGCACATTCCACACATGCGCACTGTGGGCCCAGGACTAGTCGGCTGCTAAGCAGGACAGGCAGCAGCGGCAGGCAAAAACACCCAGCAGGCCAGATAAATGTCCTCGGTGGACTGCATGTGGCCTGCGGGCCATAGTTTGAGGACGCCTGCTCAGAATACTAGGTATCAAGTTATACAACCTGAAAGAAAAATGTTATGTACCAAAAAAAAAAGAGAACAGCTTTTTAGTTTCTACCTCCCCAAACTATTGCTCTGAATGGTTTTCATGAATTCATACCCACTCAAGAGTTTGATCAAAGCTGGCAACAAAATTACCAGTCAAAAAGAGAAGGTGCTCTTACACATTTTGTGGGACCTACACATCAGAGTCCTTGATGAACAACAAACAGTATTTCTACCTTAGAACAAATGGAAAATAGCTATGTTTAATATGTTAGTTATTAAAGATTATAATGCTATGGTTACCCCTAAGGAGGAAGGACAAATTCACAAAAGTTAGCATATATAGGTAAAAGGTTTTTCAACTTACTTATTAAAAGGCTGTTAGACTACTCATCAGAAGAATTGGAGTCACAAAAAAAAGATGAAAAATAAACCACTAAAAATGATTGTTCACTGCCAGGCACCTCCTTCCTGATCAATCACCACTTTGTTCATATCAACTATGCAGTTAATATGGTTGGTTCATTTATATATATTATAAATATAATTTAAGTCATTGTCATTTTATCTAGATACTGCATAAAACTTTGTTACCGAAACGACAAACTTAATGGGCTTTTTGCAAGGATATTCACATTTCTTTACAGAGCTTCTTTATGGAAGGGAATCACATCCTGTCTGGTTTTAGAAGGTCTTTAGAAAGCAAAGTAATATACCAAAATGAATAGAGATCCCACATTCACTCAACAAATATTTTTCTCAATTAAAAATGAGACCATGGGTAAAGAATGAAAGAATCAGACATGGTTCCCTCTAAAAGGCCACAATGCAACTGAGAACTACACACAAGCAAATAAGCAACTATCACATAGTTTGATAAGTGCATAGACAGGTTCTTTGCATAAGATGTTATGAAAACATATAAGAGGGATGCACCCCAGGCTGGGTGGCTGGGAAGATGTCCAGTAGAAGGGCACATCCAAACTGAGTCCTGAAGAATAAGCAGGAGTTAACCAAAGAATAAGCAGGAGTTAACCAGCGGCATTAGAAAGGATGGGAGGGCAATTTGAGCAGAGGAAAGGATGTGTCTCAAGGTGCTGAGGAGAGAACATAGCCTTTCCAAGCAGATGCAAGGGCTGAGGAGGGAAGGAGACTGAGCAATAGCCCCTTTGCAGAAGGGTGTGCTGATTCCATTCTTACTTGCTACCTGAGTGAGCAATAAGCCTGTCTCCCACTGCAACCACTCTCAAATGAAATAGTTTGACTTGGGGCATGTCATGTGCAATTACAGAGACTGGACTCACACAATGTGATCGGTCAATATTCACAACTTGAACTAAGTGGACTCTGAGGGAGGTAGAAAAAGTCATGGAAGTAGTGATTAGCCTAGAGGTATAAGGCAAGAGGAAGAAGATACCGTTGAGTTAGAGAGGCTTTGCTTGACAATTAGAAAAACCAAAGACCTAGGATTTGTCATTTCCCACACAACAGTTACTCAGTGAAAGGAAGTATATTTTTAAAAAGAAAAAAAAATCAAACAAACAAAAACATCCTTGGAGCTTATAACTGCCAGTCTGATTCAGAGGTGCCTAAAACTCTCAAAATTCCCCTCTTTATACTAGGAATAACTCCATATCCCTATTATTTTAAAAAAGTCACTGAAACAGAGTATTCACTTAGTTATTCTGTAGTTATAAACATTCATAAGTGTACCATATACTTTTCAGTAGGTTTCTGGGAACAAATGAGCACCACTGAAATTTATTTCTAAAAGAGAAAAAGATTTTCCTGAATTTTAAGTGTTTTGGTAGCCCTGCTGTTAGCTCTCCAGCAACAAAAGCATAAAACAATGGAGATGAAAGATTTTCTACTGAAAATCACTGATCCACTGGAGGCAAAAGACTCAAGAACTAATTGATAAGTGAAAAAAAAATTATTTGAGTTTTTAGAGAGATAAATATAAATATCCTACTCTTGTTTTTATTTAAGATTATATAGCAATAGTAATTACTAATTAAATTCTAATTCTCTGTTATCTCTTCTTATAGGAAGCTGGCTAGAGTTGAGAGAGATAATGGTAGACATTAAAAGAAATACAGGCTTCATTCTTTTTGATAAAAAAAGAAAATTAAAATTAAAAAAAGAAAAAGAAATAGAGAACAAGAGAAGCCAAAATAGAAATATGTAGAGAGTGGGAGGTGCTCATTTAATAACCTATTAATGTTAGAGTCTTATTGGATATTCTGGCTAAAAACATTAAAACAAGGCATTTAACAATTCTGCACATAATATCAACACTTAAGTACCTGCCATTTCAACCTATCTTTGTATTTGTGTATACTTAAACATTATAAAAAAGCACCTCTACATACTGGATAATTTAACTCTCACTTCACCTCCATGAGGTCAATATTATTATTCATTTTATCTTGCACTGGAGGCTAGGCAAAGACCAGAAAGTGAGTCAGGCTGCCCCCAAGCTCAAATGCTCACAACATCACAGGGGACACATGGGTTATTACTGAAAAGCATTAAGCAACAAAAGAACAAAAAGCAAACAGCAGCCTCTCATTAGGAAAAGAGATGAAGCTCTAATTAAATAATACTATAAGACAAATGTTTTTAATACAGTATTTAGGTTTACACCCGATCTTTAACAATAAGTCCCCTATGGTCTTGTCATTTGTGTGCAAGGCACTAGAGTGGAAAGGCAGGAAGCCATGCTGAAAAGGTGGAGTATCTAAAGAGTCCTCCATTAAGTTAGAAGGAGTGCAAACTACAGGCTGAAGTGACCTAAAACCAAGAAATATCTTGCCTACTTTTCATCAGGGACACTAGCAATTATTTTTGAAAACAGATGAGGGCCTGACAAAGTACTTGAAATTGGACTAGAAAATTGTGGGGTATGTGCTTTGAGATATAAAATGGATATTCCTGATGTCTATAGACACATCAATGTTACCGCCATACCTGCTGGGGCTAGGCAAAACAAATTAAGATAACAAATAGGTAAGGACTAATGTAGCTTTGTGAGAATGAACTCATAAAATATTACTAATGCACTATTACAATCCAGAAATAAAAATCAATAAATCAGAGAGCTTTTCATGTGAGCCAACTGGGCATTTCTAACAGGTCACTGCTCAAAGAACACTGCATCAGTTATTCAAGGGCAGCCTCAGGGACTGCATCATGTAGAGAGTTCTGAGATACTGAACTTGGCACAGGCTTCTCATTTAATTAACAAGTACATGTGCAGGAATTAAGCGTGGCACTGAGAAGAAACTAGGTAGGCAGGGTGGGTAGATGGACTGAAAATTAAATTACCTCTATGAATCATAGAAGAGAGTAGGTAAGAAGACAGTACAACAGGTTCAACTGTGAGAAGTGAAGAACACTCCAGCAAGCAAGAAACGGGAATACCAGAAGGCTCACTCAGGAATCACGTGGCATGGCCCTATGAGGCTGTTTGTGTCTGTGAGGAAACCAGCCACGTCTCTGGCCTTCATGACAGTAAGAGCCTTCCCCCTCTATTCAAAGTATGTGCAACCCATGAATTATACTCCTGGAAAAGGCCTCTGTAGCACAGCAAACATATAATCCTGTGCATTTGTCTTTTTAGATATATTCCACCTCGCACAAGGATGCCTCCGAGTGAGGGCATTAGGGCAGCACCAATGCCTTGGAGAAACTGACTAGATAGGACTGAATAAACAGTGTGATGAAGTCTACAACACCCAAGAATAAGCATCTGCTTTGTCCTGTGTTCCTTTTAATGCTTTGCTAAAAGATGACATGCAAAATGGAAAAAATAAAATTTATCAGCTATCATTGAAAGGATTAGAAAAAAAGTCCTTGGGAGGAGATGTTAGAAAACTAAGTTATTTAGGCTGATGGAAAAAAAAAATACTAAAGGGATTTTATGTAAAAGCACTAGGAAAGAGAGCAGGGTTGGACTTGGTCTCTAAATGTGAGACCAACTGTGGTGTAGGTGCCCTGAGAGAGTCCCACACCTTGTGGAGCTTTGGTTTCCCATCTGTTGTCCAGAGCTGCTCTGAGGCTGAGATGAAACGTGCATTCTCTCATAACTCCAGTCTATACTCTCTGAGTGCCTGTCCTGGGCCAGATGCTGGGGACACAGCAGCCAACAGAGCACTGCTCCTGCCCACAAGGTGCTCACTATCCTATGTGTAAGAGAGGCATTATGGATAAAGAAATAGGAAAGGACACATGAGGGGGTTAAGTGGGACAGGGAACCAAAAGGATTGGGAGATCAAGAAAAAAATTCTGTCAAGAAAAAGCATCTCATCTAAAACTTGTAAGATGAATAGGAAGGTGAAGTTACCTATAACCACAGAGGCAGGGGACACTGAGGAGTAGCTCTGTAGGGCACTCTATGCAGAGTATCTGAGGGTATGCCCATGGAAGGGCAGTCAGGTGCAGCAGAGTTGTATGGGTACACTGAAGCGCTGATGGGGAATTACTATTAGATATGTGAAATTCCTACCCAACATGCCTGGTATACGAATACATGGAGCATTGATTGATTAGTAGTGAATTGCTATTCTCAGTTTCCATCGAGATGAGACAAATTACC